GTAATGATTTAGAATTTTTCACCTTATATGCATTTATCTAAATTCCTTCATACATGAAGCACAATGACAGAAAAATACGCTGAATAAGTGTCAACCCAAGTGAATATCAAGCAGAACCATTGAAGTTAAGGAATTATACAAGCCTGCACCAATGGACTAACAGAGGAAGTCATTGAACCAACTCCCCTGTTAGTAACAGAGATGCACGATTCTTGCCAGACACCACAAACAGGCTATCATTTATTGACTGCTTCCTGAAAATTGAGAAAAAGGCAAAAAAGTAACCAAGGAAAAAATAAGAAGCTAAGGAAAAACAGTAATGAATGTATTAAAGAAGGTCACGGAGACCCAAAGCAAAGGAGAGAAAGTTTAATGAAGTAATTTGGGATAGACAGCCATCAGACAAGAGAAACTTATCATGACCCCACCCTACCTGCAATACCCTCTTCACCTGTACACATTTGAGATCTTGCAGGTGTCTGTCTTCACACAAGTCTGCAGAAGGGCACATAGCTGCTGTGACTCGAATCRCAGAATGGAACTTGACTATTCTCAGCCTTCTAATATGATATTTTCTCCAACCTCATCTACCCAAATCCCCAGGTTCTATACATGGGTACTTTAATGAAGGAACCTACTAACTTCAACCTGCCTGAAATTTAGCTCTGATAGCTATTGGTCTCCAGGCTTGGTTTGGTTTGTTCCTTTTTYTAAACAGTTGAAAAGAACTTGAATTGGAAGGAAGGAGATGATGGGAAAAGTCCACAATTTTAACAGGGGAAGAATTGAACAAAAGATGTTTTTAAAAATCGTTGATTTTTCTCTTCRGATTGATTTAGCAGCTGCCTATAAGGAAGGTAGTAGATACCTGGTTTGTTCTGCAGGAGCTGCAGCCTTTTTGCAGTGGAAATTGCGTGGTCTCCCGTGCTATTAGCCTTTTGCTGTGGCGTTGCCAACTGATTTCTCCAATTCTCTTTTCTCAGTGGGCTAGAACGCAGCTGGTTAAATAGGCYGTGACTCACATAAGCTCCCATGTCTTTTTTTATTGACTGCTTTATGGAAATGTATCACACTCCAAAGGGTCCCTATTGTTGTTGCCGTGCATGGCTGACTGAAGAGTCATCTTTAGTGCTGAGAGACGGAATCCTATCCTGTCTTTCTTTATTGCAGAGTTGGGTGTGGGTGGGACTCAAGGGTTTAAAGGAATCTGAATGAAGAGAGAAGGATGTCTGAGAATTTCTTTTATCTTCATCTGCCATGGAAGTTGGGTGGCCATCACTTCTGGGTAACACACTTCTCTGTTGATCTTATCTTTATGGCCCACATCCTTCAGCTAAGTGAATCTTTTCTTTATATGGGTTATTCTGAGAGATTTAGTTAAGCACAGTGGTAGAGAAAGATTATGACACTAACACAATTCTGGTTTGTGCTGATATAATGTGATACACCCTTAGGTTTATCCAAGAGGGTCATTTATTCCCAGTAAATTGAAATCATTTCTAGTTTTTTATTATGGTGATAATATCGTTTTGCAGGAAATAAACAAAAAGCTCTTTTTTAATTATATACTTAAATATAATTTTTTGCCTTAAAATAGCAACTTCTAAAATTGTTTGTGGGTTCTTATTTTTAATATCATCCTGCAAAGCATTTACATACTCTCTACTACACATTAAGTAGCTCTGGGCAGATCTGTTTGTTTGCCAGTAGGTGTGGATCCAGGCACATAAGACTCCTCTTGCCTCATCTCCCCATGGCCTGGTCGGACTTGTGCATCCACCAGTTCTTGATCAGTAGGACTCTGAACTAACAGTGAAATAGGAGATGACTTCAGGGTCACAATGGCTACCCATCATCATGTGTGGATTTGTCTGATAGATCAGAAAGCTAATGAGATTGAGCTGAGTCAACTTGACATGGAGAACAACTCTGTCATTGTACTCACCACGATTCTACACAGTCAATAGAATAGAGACTGATTTCATTCGATTGCCTATTTTTTATTTCATAGCCATTCTAAACATTGCCTATAATCCCATTTTTTCCCACAGCCCATCAGGGAAACCAAGCAACAGAGTTCATTGATACAAATTCCCTCTAATGAGGATGAGAACAATATAACACATCTTACTACGTACAAAAACACATCATATTTTTTTTAAATATTTCCAACTCTATTACTCTTCAGAATCTTGTTCGTAAACCACCAACTGAGAAAATTCAGCAATTCATTCAGTGCCCAATTTTAGCAAACTGAGATTGACTATAGGGGAGAGAAGGTGGGGATGGTGCTATCCCTTCTGTCCTAGAATTAGTGACTTGGAGTTCAAGCATCTCTGCTGTATTATGCCTTTGTTTTCTTGGTGGTGACATTCTTGGGTTTCAGTTGGTGGGGAGAGAAAAGCCTCATGCTGATAATGTACTGAAAGTAAATGAAATTAAATAAGCGAAGCAGTGCTCATCACTACTTCCTCCCCCCTGGGTAATTCAATTCAAGCTCTCTCTCTGATGGCAACTCACAGGGGCTGTCTCTGTCACCCCGCTGGGGCCTGGAGTCTTAACATCTAAATAAAAGTTTCACTCAAGCATTTTTTATGCTCCTGCCAGCAGGATCAGTGAGCTGGTGTGGCACATTAATGTAATATTCATACTCACAGACTCTCCCCGCACACGAGGCAATGTCTTCCCATTTTCATAATTATAGATGTTCCATAAAATGGCATTTAGATTTGCATTAAAAAAGGAGGTTTGAATTCTAATAGAACATTTAACATGTCTTTTATGATTCAGATTCTTGGCATCTTCAACAAGAAGCTGTGTCTCTAAGTTTAACAAGACCTTTAAAAAGAAAAAAAAAAAGGAAGGAAAAACTTGTGGGAGAAGAGATGGAAACTCCAAGCTCAGGGGATCTTGTTTATCCTATCCCCTGTGTCTTTCATTTAAATTTTAGGTCTCCAGGAGCAATTTTTCGACAGTACTTCAGAAATTAGCTTTCCTTCAAGGGCCTACTCGGCCATCCTGTCCTCACCTCACCTGTTGTCCCACCCCCAGTAGAATCTGCTATTCTTGGAGCATGTTTTCAGAGGGACATTAGAATTTTCAATGGTGTAGGAGAAATGAAAAAATCCTAGAAAAATGAACTTTCCTTTGCTATGGTTCATCTCATCCACACACCCTGAGACCCGTCTAGAAGGATTTACGGCAGCCACAGCCTTTGCAAACTATATAACATAAAAGTGAAAATAGTCTATGATCAAGGAATTTAACAATAAGGACCCATTGAATAAAGAGACACATAAGCATACTGGTAAAGAAAAAGGCTCCTCTGATCTATATCTTTAAAACTGTTCTTGAAACAGCCTAGAAGCAAAAGGTAATCCTAACTGCATTTTAAATTGTCTTAAAATGGCCAGGTGCAGTGGGGCATGTGCCTTGTAATCCCAGCAAATCAGGAGGCTGAGGCAGGAGGATTGCAAGTTTTAGGCCAGCCTCAAACTCTAAGCAATTTAGCCAGACTCTGTCTCAAAACAAAAATAAAAGAATTAGGGCTGTGGCTGTGGTTAACTGCCCTGGGGTTCAAGCCCCAGTACCAAAAATAAATAAATAGTCTTAAAATAGTCTTTAAACAAAAAGTGGGTAAAGCACTGAACCAAGTGCCACCCCACTGAGTGAATGTTGATCACTGTAGGAGATGTTTAAAAGCCAATTGTTTTATTGAAAAAAAGCATTTCACCCCAAAGTCTCAAGATAGCATATAGATGGCCTGATTGATTCATATGGTGATTGTGACTTACTTTCTTTTGTATTTGGTTTGCTTTATAACTTTTTTTAAAGAAGAGATTTGAATTAGAAAACTAAAAAACAAGWAAATATTTAGATTCTGCTAGTCCACTCCCTTTCATTTTTCTTATGTGGAATTGGGCTGGGGGTGTGCTCAGTGGTAGAGCCTGTGCTTTGATCCTGAGCCACAAAACAGAAAGGGAAGGAAAAGAGGGAGGAAAAAAGAGACAGAAGGTTGTTTATATTCTTTAAAGAATTTGGGGGGGTCTTGTTTTATTTTTTTGAGGAATAAACTCCTCCCTCAGTCTTTTGCCCCATAGGATAAGGATAAACCCTGTGGAGGAAGATGGATTAGCATCTTGATTTTTCAATAAATTTGTACCTAAGGAGGCTGTTGAAAGCCAAGAATGTCAGCAGCATACAACTCAAGGCTGATGTCAATTCTAGGGTCTTCTTTTTATTTCATTTTTTTTTTATTTTTTTAGTTGCCAATGGACCCTTATTTTATTTATTTATATGTGGTGCTGAGAATCGAACCCAGTGCCTCACACATGCCAGGCAAGTGCTCTACCACTGAGCCACATCCCCAGCCCAGGGTCTTCTCTTTTGTTAAGGCTTTAAGGACCCTTAGACTCCTTCCCATTCTTTAAAGAAACCAAGATTTGGCAGTTATTGCCAAGTTCACCTTGCATAGCTCTTCTTTGTGTGAACTTAATAAAATTTATGTTCACAGAGTGGCTTTCTGGGGTTTTTTTTTTTATTTAAAAAGGAAGAAAGAAGAAAAAAGATGAATATATTCATTTTCCCCTCTGAGGTGACCATATTTATAGTGGAATCTATCAGTTATTAAGTCTTCTCTGAGCTGATAACTATCCATTTGACTTTTGATTATCTCAGTGTGGATTATCCAATTTGTAGCTTATATCCACAGCAAATTCTTAATTCCCTGGAGTCCTTTTCCTGCCAATCAGTACATAGTTATGCTACCTCCCCTTGTCACAAATTAATGTATGCTTAGATCATTTTAAGTGATATTAGCATTAGATATAATTRGGAAGAGAGAAAATTAACTTTTTCCCCAATCATAGAGAAAATGTTTTATTTTGTGCTGTGTTTAGGCAATTGCCCTTTATACTCCATCATTAATGTGAATTATCTAAAGTAGACTAAGTGAAATTTTGTCAGGTTTCAACAAAGCATTCTGCTGTTGTTCCTTTTAGGAATGGAAGACGTCATAAGAGGAGCTCAAGAACTTGATAACATCATCAAGCAAGGATACTTAGAGAAGAAAAGCAAAGGTATTGATCCAACCCAGAGACAGCAGAACATTCCYGGAAGGGAAATGAGAAAAAAAAAAAGGTTAACTGATCAGGTACCCTCTCTGTGCCCAACACTGTGCTTGACAGACGTCTAGGGGACTCTGTCACTCATTAAATGATAAACTTAATGCAAGGAGAGGAAAGACAAGAAGTCTGGTGTTACTGTGTGTAGACTGCAGAGAGATGGCCAGAATCTTTAGCTGACTGGGAGCTCCCTCAGGATGGGGATTGATTAGATTCTGCTCATACCTGTACTTGCAGTGCCTGCTACAAACAGGTGCTTAATAAAGCTTGTTGAATGAATGAATTATATTTTTGTTCTCATCTCTCAGTGTGCTCCTATAGTAGAGAAACTGTTTTACTAAGAGAGTAGCTTTTATATCATGCATAAAGCAGCACACTCAAATTTCCAACAAGCCCAACTTTTGATCTTTATTTAAACTCATTCCATTAGAATATAGAATAGGAACTACTAGGACTGAACTCCCAAGATTGCCACTCAACTGACAAATTGGTTTAGCACACCCCCCCACAAAAAAAGAAACCTTTCTCATGGCCATGGCCTGGAGTATCATTCTGGTTTGTCAAAGGCAACACGAAAAGATGTTGTGGAGAATTTGAAAAGGACAGGATGAGATTAGAACCTGAAAGATATAAAGGAAGCTAGATAAAAAGACAGCTGGGAGGGCACAGAGCAGGCAACCCTGTTTAGAACTTGGACCTTAAACAGAGCTTGTCCTCTGGACTCTGAGTCAATATGGGATAACCTGTGGGAGTGAGAGGGAGGGTTTTACAGTCCATTAACCTGGGAAATAAAACAATAACACGCTGGACTGTGTATAGTTGGATTTTACGGACTCTTCAGTGATTGTAGTTACCTGAATTTATGTCTCCTACTGCTGTTCTGTGTAGATCATAGTTTCTTCGGCTCTGAGTGGCAGAAGCGATGGTGTGTTGTCAGCAGAGGCTTCTTCTACTACTATGCTAATGAGAAAAGTAAGTGTTCTYCATTTGCACAGCAGCATCTCACTCCTGGATGCAAGCACTTCGTAAATTCTCAAGCACTTAGGTCTCCAGATAGCAGTCCTTAACTAACACCCAGAAAGGGACACGCTTAAGAAAGAAAGAGGCTTGGGCAAATAATACCTTTCCAGTCACCAAAAACAGATGTMAATTTAGAGTTCCAAAAACATTAGGATAGTATGGTTGATATATCAAATGGTTATCTTTTATTAAGACCAATAACACAATATTTTCCAAATTGAATGTGTTGGTGTACTTAAAAAAAAGAAACCTCAAATTCTTTGTAGGCATTAATGAGATAGCTAAAATATAAAATATTGGGGGAATAGGTGGAGTGGGGGTGTGGCTTGGTGATAAAGTGCTTGCCTAGCATGCACAGGACCTTGGATTTGATCTCCAGTATAATAATAATAACAATAACAATAATAATAATTCAGAGAAATATTTAAACAGCTTACCAGTGGCCCAGAAAAAGAATTCTAGGGTTCAGACTCTCTTAAAGCCTGCTCCAAACTTTGAGCCTGACTATTGGGAAGTAATCCAGTGGACATCCCTAGAGCCATAGAGTGTTGAGACCCAAATGGTTGCTGCGCCCAAGAGACACCCTTCAGCCAGATGGCAGCAGCAGCAAAGTGTTGACTCAGGCCAGAGGCAGTTTTTTAATGAGCCACCACTGACTCAATCAAGCACAACACTCATGAGCCCTAGAAGACCTCTMATCCATGTTTAACATAGTTGCTTAGTTCATGAGAGAGAGGAAAGGATATAAGCACAAGTTGAGGCAGCTACAAATAAACACAAGCTAAAAATTATTTTTGTACACTAATGCAAACTTTCAAGTAAGGGATACTGCTTGGTAGAGTTGGGCAGTCCCAGAAGTAATTTAGGAAGCAAGAGAAAAAGAGAGACTAAATCAAGCATCCACTCTTGCAGGGGCTTCCTGTGCTCTACCACCTTCTTACAGGGGCCAGTGATAAAGTTACAAAATAGAACTTTCTTTTTCCTTCCAATTATTTTCCATTTTGCCTCTGTTTCTCCTTTTTAAACCCTATTCCTCTCCTGGCTATTCGGTCTAGAGAACAATCAAATACCTGCCCAATTGCCTTTGGACTTTCTGCCACCTTTGACAGGTACTAAAGTAGCAGAAAGAGCTGTTGCTCAGTGACCTGGAATCCTTAAGATCTGCACTTGACTTCGTGGCAGTTGCCTTTCTCAGCCTCCCTGCCTGCAGCAGGTGTCCCTGACCTTTGTCTTCCAGTCACCATCCTGGATTCCTCAGAACCCTCCCATCCAAGGGYAAAGTGTGAAGCCCTGCTTGGAATTGATAGCAGCACACCTTGAAAACTGAGGAACAAATCCCCCTTGTCCTTCTACCCATCCCCACCCAGCCCACTCTCAAATCCAGCAACCACAGTTTCCCCTCTGAACTCTAGGCACATGAGCTAGACAGGTGTTCTTTTCTTCAACCTATTAGGACAAAAAATGTCCATCATTTCTCCTGCATTTAAATAGATGGTTGGCATATCTGGATAGAAAGCCAGGTATCCTCTCTGTTCATTCAGAATCCTTTACACTCACTGGGAAAGAGGCGGGGGCTGGGGGGTGGGGGGAGAATAAGAGCAAGAGGCTCGGAGACTTTTATTGACCATTTGGCCGTCAGAGTGAAATAAAATCTGGTGACCAAAGAAACAACAAAACATTTTAGTGGCCAGTTAGAACAAGGAGAGATACTTTCACAAAAAAGATTCTGGTGTCAAAAAGCACTGTTGCGCGGTTCCCTTCTCGACAGTTACTTCTTATTGCGCCCAGGACAATTTCTTAGTAAGTGTAGTGTTCGTATGTTTCTTTTAGCTCAACCAGGTGAGGACAGTCTTTTTTTCTTCTTTTCTTTTCTTTTTTAATTTTGTCATCCCACTTTCTTCTTTATGTCATCATTAAAAAAAAAAAAACTCAATTTATTTCACCTGACAGGGGACACAAGCATCCCTCACACTGAGGATGCTGTCCTTCATGTGTCCTGCCTGACATAAAATCTTTCTGAGCCACCTCTTCTTTGCCTGTTTCTAATATTTTATTTTCAAAAAGTAAAAAAGAAGAAAAGGTGAAAAGTAAAGTAGTGTCTCCTTTCTGTCACTCAGGGTCCTTTTCCTTTTATCTCCTTCCTTATCATCTAGTGACACTCAGTAGTCCTCTGCTTCTTTCCCAATTTGACCTCTTGAAAGGAGAATGAAATACTGAGTTTTAATTATTCTCCCTCTAGCATAAATTCCCACCTGAGAAGCAGGGGAGGGGGAAGAATAGTTTAGCCCAAAYGCCACATAAAGCATGGGAGGAGATTCCAGGACCTTATAATGCCCCTGTGCTGCTGTCCCTCCCCTCAATGTGAGCTCTGCTGGCCCTGATAATAATGTTTCAGCTCTGTAATAGCCTTCACGAGCCTCACATTTACAACCACACTCTCCCTACTGTAATAATTCCTTCTTTCTGTTATTATAGATCTCTTAACATTCTAATAAATTCACTGTCTYTGTTGGACTCTTTTGGTAAAATAACCTTTCGTGTTGCATTTCCCTAGCTTGGCAGTGATATCTGCCTGGCTGTCGCAGTAGCCTCTTCCTAAGCTTCCCTAATAACCTTTCCTTGACTGTTGTGGTTCCTCGGGGATGTAACAGCTGTTTCTGTGCTTTTATTTCACATACCAGAGAAGATGCCTTCCCCTGGCGGTTGCATCTCTCTAGGGATACAGAGAGCTTTCCTGTCTTGCAGGCAAGCAGCCCAAAGGGACCTTCCTCATTAAAGGCTACAGTGTCCGGATGGCCCCCCACCTACGAAGAGACTCCAAGAAAGAAGCCTGCTTTGAACTGACCTCCCAGGATAGGCGCAGCTATGAGGTAGGATGATCCGAGGAGCCGGTGCTCCTCCTTAGAGCTGCGGTTTCCTTCCCTGTTTGTTATGCTGGGTTCTATTCTCTCTTTTCAGCAGCTAAGACCCTCTTTCTTGCCCTGTCCTCACCTTTGCTATGTCACAGCCTCCCTTCCCTTCTGTTGCCACACTCATCCTAGACAATGACTTCACTTGGCTTCTCTCTCTTCATCCCTCCCCTTCCCTGTGTCACCCTATAGRTGAGATTCCTGTTCACCGCAGCAGTGCACCATCAAAACCCTTACTCATCGTCTCTAGTTTCACGGCTGTAATTCCCATGCTTATTTTTCAACTGATTATCCCTACTTTCTTCCATGAAAGTAGGAAAAAGGAAAATCTAACTCTATCCTAAGAAGTTATTTGTTGTATCATATTCATCTTGCTATCCAAAACGGCCTTCCTATATTTGGATGCAATGCATATCTCTGAGAGGAGTTTTAAGACACTGGTGACAGTGGTCACTTAGTAGTAATAATGATAACTGAGAGGCTAGAGGACCTTGTCAGAGCAAGAACTCATTCCTTGCTGTGTTCATTTGTATATATTTTGAATCTTTACCTCGTGCATTTATTACCCATTATAAAATAAGTTGAAATAATAAAAATGTAAGACTGTAGAGATATATGGATTTTTTTCACTAAAAATATTTTTTATATGTGTGTATATTGTTTCCTACTTGATAATTTTATTTTACCACAGTTCTGTTAAAGCAATGTTAGCAAAGCTCTAGCTAACTTATGAAAAAGAAAAAGCATGCTAAAAGTAAATTACCGATTTAAGTAACCCTTTGACTCCTCAGGTTTTTCTCAGCTTTTAACGTTTTTATATTTCTACAGTATATTAACCCTTATTTTATTATGTGACCTAGGTCTGCATTATGTAATTTCTAGAATTTTTTAAAAACTTAAACTAAAGCTTTTCTATGGAGTTCTTTATAAACATTATATAACACAGACGTATGCATTGCATATGTTTCTGAGTTGTTTTTWTTATTAAATTCTGATGATACTGCATCTGATAAAAGTTGATATGAAAATTCTAAGCCAATATTCCTAGAAAGTTTTTTATTGAAGTGTACTTTGGGGCCAAGGTTGTGGCTCAGTGGTAGAGCACTTGCCTAGCATGTGTGAGGCACTGGGTTCAATTCACAGCACAAAAAAATAAAAATAAAATAAAGGCCCATTGACAACTAAAAAAAATTTTTGAAAAAACAAAAAGTAAATGTGCTTTTAAGGAACTARGAATGATAGGGTCTATTAACATAAGCATCATACAGGAACCTAGGTTTCTTATACAACATATATCTTTATGTTATCCTAATGACCAGATAATTAAAATGTTTTTCAGAAACAGTTATTTCAAGTTGATTCTTTTTTTTTTTTAAATCATGAAGGGTTGATGCTTGACCGACCTGTTTTATTAATCAAAATGTAGTTTGTTTACTTCTTTTCTTTGGTCCATTGAATCCAGATCATTACTGTGGTCTGTGGATTCTTCCTCTACAGTGGCCTTTAAATCTTTACCTTTCTTATTCTCACAGCCCTCACGATAGTTAAGTCCCTCTTATTTCACCTAGAGGACCARTTCAACAGCCTTCTAGTTGATCTTCTGTCTCCAGAGTTGTCTATTCTAATCCCTCCTACCCAAACTATTGAAAGAGTCACCCTCTCTCTCTGCTAGAATTAGTAGTAGCTTCCTGTTGCCTACATTTCTGAATTTCTGTCACTCAGAGCCCTTCTACCAACTCTTCTCTGACCCTCAACTTCCATCTGTTATTATTCTCCAGGCAAGCTGGTCATCTTCCTGTCTTCCCCACACATGATGTTCTCATTCTTGTAATCTTGCCCATAGTTATCCCTACCTGAAATGAACAGCTCCCTCCACCAGTTTCCACCAATGCTTTTTAAAAATCCAACCAGCCTGGTGGTGGTGCACACCTGTAATCTCAGAMATTCCAGAGACTGAGGGAGAAGATCACAAGTTTGAGGCCAGCCTCAGCAACTTAKCGAACTTAGTGAGACCCTGTCTCAAAATAAAAAATTAAAAAGACCTGTGGATGTAGCTCAGTGATAGAGTGCCCCTGGGTTAAATCTCCAGTGTCATAAAAATATATATAAATAAATATTTTTTTAAAATCCAGTCAAAACAGTTTTGCTTCAGCAAGCCTCCCTAATCTGCTCCTGGCAACAATAAATGATCCCTGTCTACTCACAACAACCAGTTGTGGGCTGCAGGTGTAGCTCAGTGGTAGAGCACTTGCCTAGCTCRCTCAAGGACTGGGTTCTGTCCCCAGCACTGAAAAGGAGGGAAAAAAAAGTTCCATTATTATCAAATGTATCTGCTTTGTGATGTTTTCATCTCATGTACATATTGCTTTGCTTTCCCCCGCCCCTGGTAAATTTTTCTCAAATAAATGCCACATGAAGGAATAGATAATAGACATATACATAAATATCTGGACTTAAAGAGCTCTGATATCTGGGTATGCAAAATTGCTGATGGAAAAAAATGGTTTGAATTTAATATGTGGTCTTCTTTCTAAATATTAAGCTAAAGCAGAGAATCCTGAGCTTTAAAGTTGACGAAAACTCACGGATAACTTCCCCTGGGCTTCCTTATCAAGATGCATGGAAATTTTAGTGAAGGTGATAAATTAATTTGCAATTTTTTTTCTKTAGTTTACAGCTACTAGTCCAGCTGAAGCCAGAGACTGGGTGGATCAAATAAGTTTCTTATTAAAGGGTAAGTGTTACTGTTTTGAAATACATAATATTTGGATCTGCAGTTGAAGTACTGTTCCATAAGTATCAGCTAGTTTCCATGTGTATTTTTTCCTGCTTTCTCGTCTCTACCCTCCCCACYATATGCCCACATTTTAACAAAAACTACTGTGTATGGTTCAGAAAGTAAGGAAATCATCAACCTGGAGATGACCTCTAATATCATAGCTCATCACCTGACATACAGGCAAGACTTTGCTACTCATAATCACTGAAAATGGGATCCTGAAAACCAGCTCAGCCCAATTCACTGCCTCCTAAAACCCCTTTCATTCTGGAAAGAAAATTCATAACTTAGAGTCATTTTAATTGCAAACAAGGTCCAAAATCTTCTTCTTTTTCAGTCTTACTAGGAAGTAGAAATCTAAATTAATATAGATGGTCATCAGAGACTTTGGACATTACAAACAAATTGCTATTTCCCAAGCCACAATAAAATGTTCCTTGCTTTGAGATGGGACAAGTCCTGCCTGAGGATATTAAATGACTGCTCTTAGAGTACCCTCTGCTGGCCAGCCTGCAGGCACAGCAGTAACAGTGGCCTAAGAAGCCTTTCCTGGGAGTGGCAATGTGGCAGATAGAAGCAGTTCACCTTGAGTGAATCACTTGGCATCAGGTAACCCTCAGGTACCCTCATGGCAGGACCCTATCTTACAGAAAGACAGGAACACCAACTTCATACTTGGCCCAAGACACAGGGAGAAGCACGTCAACCTGAAAACTCCAAACTTTCTCTTCACAGATTTTATTCTAGYGCAAGATCTTATTGTGGATAAGAAGGAGCAAGCACCCGAGCTTTAATTACAAGAATTGCCTGTTTTACTCAGTTATGCCTTTGCTATCACAAAAACAAAGTATTGCATCCACCAGCAGCATCACGTATAATAGACTGGAACTAGGCAAACATGAACATTGATGGCGAGACTACAGGGTACACTCTCATCTAGGTGCCTTGGATTTATGCGTGTAATATACCCCTAAGTGTGTAAACCTCAATAAAACTCAAAGCAGCTTTATTGAGCTGTACCCTGTGGTACTTTCAGARTCTCACATTGAAGAAATTATTCATTCCATTTTATTTTAAAACAAACAAAATAATAACATATGGTTTAAGCCACAAATGTGTCTTTGATCCTTTTTCTCATATGAAGTGGCACCAGAATTCAGATGAAAATTGTTGCAAAACCTTTATTAAAAGCCTAATCAAGCCAAACAGTTTTATTGTGTTTTGAAATGAACATCGGATGTTTCTCCATCCTTCCCTTCCCCAGGGTCTGCTGACTGTACTCGCCCATTCTGTCRGGGCCCCTCAGCAGGGTTTCAGAGAGCACTCTGTGCTACTCAGAGAATGAGCCTTCCCAGTACCCCATCGAAATAAAAACCAATCTCCCTCCCCTGCCCTGGTGCTCCCCAGCGCTGTAATGGTCCAACATCCTCTGCGCAGTGACCCACTTAAGGTCAGCCAGACTGTACAGTTGCCAGAGGACGTGGTAACTGCACTGTGCAGCCATTCCATTTGGTCTCGGATTACTGTTATTTTTCACCATACCCCATTTGGTTTCCTCTTCCACTTTTGCCCATTTTTTTTTCTCTCTCTCTCACTCTCTGCAAACAAACTTGTCTGAAATTCTGCGATGAGATCATTGGGGAGATGGGCTTCTGACAGCTCGGACACCCTACAGAAGAAGCCACCATGGAGGCCCTGGCTCTGTGTGCCCTGGAGAACTGCAGGCCATCACTCACCCGTCCAGTGCGTGGCATGCTGGCATTTCCTCTTCTGTCCTATTTCCTTCCCTTCACCTCRTGTTCCCATTCACACACCCATACTATTCAGGGCTGCTTCATCCTGATCAAGTTTTATTGCAAGGAAGGATTTATGTTGATGGTTTAAACCTGATGCAGTGCTGGTCTGGCCTTTTCTGTAGATTTCCTGCCACCAAGGCCCACATTAGAAATAACAGCACTTAACCTAGTGTTTCATTTTCTTTTGACATGTTTTATTCTCTTCCCCCCCTCCTCCTTCCTCTTTCCTTCCCTGCCTTCTCACTCCTTTCTTTTGCTCCCTACCTTGATTCATTCCCATCTTTGCCCTGGCAGATCTGAGCTCTTTAACCATCCCATGTGAAGAGGAGGAAGAGGAAGGAGAAGAGGAGGAGGAGATGTATGATGATATTGATGGTTTTGACTCTCCAAATTCTGGTTCCCAGTGCAGACCCATTCTCTTGCCTGGGAGTGTGGGGATAAAAGATCCTACAGAGGAGAAAGAAGAGGATATTTATGAAGTCTTACCAGGTGAGAAATTTCATCTCCTAATTATATCCCCCTCGTTTCAGAAATTCGACCWGGTGGAAGAACATAACTTTGGAAACTCCTAAGGAAGCCAGATCTAAACTTCATCCTCTGAAGGAGAGAATGTAGGGAAACATGATTCTCAAGCTCTTATAGAGCCTCTGCCTTACTCTGGGAGCAAGATGAGTTTGATCAAGRATTGTCTCATCTGTGCCACATGAAGTCCTCTATCATTTATGTCAACAAAGTTCAAGGGTTCAAGAATACCCATATTGGTGTTCATTGCTTACCATGAGTTTGGGGGTCAGTCATCAAAAATCCTCTAGTTTCAACATCTTTTCTGTGGAACTGTGAGGGTGACAGAAAGTTGCCTCCAAAGTATGAAGGATTTTGAAATCTGAAATATATAAATGCTAACCACCCTTTTATGTGATCCAGTAAAACCCCACCAGCACAACTCATTATTACCTAGAAACAAATCACAACTCTCAAGAATAAGCCTGACATGTATCTCCTCTGCCCACCGTGCAGCAGCTCTAAGCTGTCGATCACTTTCTGTCCAAAGGCAGGATAAGTGGCACCTCAGAAAATGTAGAGTCATCATTGCTTCCACAGAGCCACTTCTGGTCGGGATCGGCAGCTGGCGAACAGTGCAGAGCACAGTGGGGGTCAGACTGTGGAAAAACCAAAGCCTGAGCCTTTTAATTGTGAGGTACTTAGACCACAGGAAYGCTGAATCTTCAAGTCCATTCAGAAAGAGCATGCCTGTGGAAATTTGCCAGGAGTTCAGTGCTCTGCTAAGAAATTCAAGTTAAGCCTAAATTTATAGCAATTTAAACCTCCATCTCAAATGAACCTAGGAACTAAGGTGAATCTAACACTCAGGCCCCTGAAGACAGGGCTAGTTGTTAAAAGCATCATCAGTAGGCAATACATTTCAAGGCTTCCTCAGAAGAGGGTACAACCCCCTTAACTCTGCATTCTGCCTTCATCTCTTCCCTAGGAGAGAAGCCATGTCATTGTCCCCTGCATCAAGGAGCAGGGCTATGGCTACACGTCCCCACCAAGGAGAGCCTGCTTCTTCTCCTACTACTTCCAACCTCTGCCAGTCCCCACTTCCCCAGCCTTTTTTTGTTGTGTTTTATTATGCAAATGATATCTTGGTTGAGGTCGAGCCATTTCTTGTGTCTGAAGTTAAAAAAAAAATGATAATTTCCTCAGCAAGTCATCGTCGTTAATGAAGTTTTACAAAAACAGATACAACCAAAGGAAAATAAAATTTCACAGGTGATAAATTTTTCCAATTTCCCTGGCAGAATTCGATAGGATTGTTAAATTAAGAGTGAAGGTGTCTGTTAGAAAGCAACGAGCAGTGATGGGTAATTTTATAGAGTGGAAAATTGAATCAAATTGCTACATTAAAACACAGCTCCTCTGAGAATCTTCCCTTTCACAGCCTGCTCCATTGCAACAGCAGGGTGCAGAAATGGATCTAATTCACAACACTCCCTAAAAGGAGATGCACTCCCCAACTTGGCCAGGATCTTCCTAGTGAGCTCACATTCTGCTCACTCCTGCCCAGGCTCAGGAAAAGGCCAGGTGACACTCCACTTTGGGTTACAGCTGTGGAAGAGTGCTCTGGGAAAACCTCCCTGAACCACTCAGCCTTCTGGGGTACAATGGAAGGGCCTTTTATGCACCATGGATAGTTCTCAAAGGAGCCAGGGAAGAGGCTCAGAGATGCAGAACTAAGAGAGCAAAGGGAAAGAGGCCTCAGAAAATAAGATGAATTTGGGCTCATCCCCTACTTACCCTAGGTAGGGGCAATGAATGTATAACTGTCTTCTTAGCAGCCATGATTCTCCTGCCTCCTAAACTCTTACCCTCAGTCACTGTGGCACTGCCAAGTTATGGGGCATTACTCCAAAATTCTCACCAATTGAGTATTGGAGTGGACCCAAGGGCATGGAGACTAGTCTACATCTCTTAACCACTAACCCTGAGTCCACAACTGCTGTCCATTAGGAGTGAGGAAAGCCACAAAGCTTTAGCCTGGGCCTCTTTCTGTAGGTTAGCGAAACAGCAATTAACTTGCATATGTTTCCAAAGGACAATGTGTACAGCCAATGGTTTCTTTCCAAAAAGCCTCTATCCATCAGAGTCCTGAAAGACAGCATTGAAGATGGGATATGTGGACATTTAATTATCATGTATATATTGCAGCCACACAATCCCATCACCCAGCTTCCTTTCCACTCCACTCTTGTTGCTTCGGAAATGGATTTGAGTTTTGCATGTGCCACATCACTAATCCTGGAGGAATTGAGAGGGAAGGTGAGGGGCCTAGCAGTGTCTCCCCTCTGCCACCATCTCATAAGACCACCTACAGAGCAGAGGCATATGAGAAACAGCACGGCACTACAGGTGCAAAGCTGGCTGAATGTCACGATGGATCTGTGCTGCTGCCTGTTCTCTGTGAGGCCTCAGGCAAGTTACCTGCCCTCACTAATTGTCACCCTTGTAAAATGGGGAAAACAATAGCTGCTGTCCTAGAGGGATATGGTGAAAAAGTCTAGAACTGACATATGTAAAGCCCTCAGCATAGAGTCCTGGCATGTGGGAGTCCTCAGTAAATGCTGGCTACTATTAACCTGGTGGCATTTAAAACTGATAAGAACAGATACTACACTTGATCTTGGCCAAAAGGCCAAAAAGCGATCTGGTGGTATTTAAAGAGGCTTTATGGCTTGAAAAGCTGGGGGATGGCTAGGTCCCCGCCCTCACCAAGCAGACCTGAGACAGTCCAGTTGGGCATTTGCAGCTATGTGTATGAAGCAGGTGAAATTGAAAATCCCGAGCAGATGGAATGTGGAGCGCACCTTCTGCTCAGGCCCATTTTTACTGCGAGGCCAGGTGCTGGGTGGAGGGACAGCGGACGGTAACGTCGGATTGTGCTAACATTGCATACCCATCAATAGTCAAATGACTTGGGCCTCTCATTCAGTTCATTATAACAGGTAAATGTGCTTTGTGAAGGATATTTAGCCTTGGTGATTCTGCTAATTCTCTTCTTTGGAATGGGACCTACATAAGCCCTCCCTGTCCTTTTTTTTTTTCCTTTGTGGTGCTAGGGAATGAACTCAGGGCCTCATATATGCCAGGCAAGTGCTTTCCCACTGAACCACATCCCCAACCCCTTGAGCCTTCACTGTGTCTATGGGGAAAGCCATGTAAGTGAGATCCTTCCAGAGTGTCATTGATATGGTCTTCCTAGTAGAGAGAAAAGAGTACAGAATATATATCAAGTCAATAAAAATAAAATTTTTTTTCCTGGTCAAAATAATGTATGGGTCATCAAATTAAATGCACTATATCACATTAATCATGAAATAATTAGCATTTGCTACATGACTAGCATTCTTTTCCCCAAGAGGGAAAACCAGAGCACTCAAGGTTTTCAGCCAGACCACAAAAATGTTAATCCTGGAAAATACTGTTTCAAGGTTGGTATCCACTGGGATTGYTGAACATCCATGTTGAGCATATGGGGGCCTTTCATTTTTAGGATCTCATTTGTAGTAGATTAAACTTCAGGGAGCTACCTCAAAGAAATGCTAAAGCCATATATAGAAAATGGGAAACTTTCTGAACCYTTTCTTATATCCCCTGAAGTTATTTTGCAGGCCAATACAGGCCCATTTCCCTGATTCCAGATTCCATCAAAGGACAGCTTTTATCAGGTTTCTTTTCTGGGGTCTCAAGACTGGAAGCCAAGAAGGTACCTGTAACTGGGGCCTTGTCACGGCTACAAAAGCAACTGAATCAAGCTGTGTTCTCTAGAGAGATAAGAGCAAACAGAAAGGAAAACGAAGAGCCCTCCCTGAGAATTTCTATGCACATTCTGAAGCTGCCCGCAGCGCCCCAGGGGGKTATTATAGACCCAGAAACCAGAGTGCTTTATAATAAAGCATATAACTGGTTTTTTTTTTAATTAGAGTCAAATGGAAACAAACATTCTGTGGAATTATTTTTCCCCTTGTACAGTTGTCCAGACCCATAGGAAGAAGGAATGGTGATAGTCAGAGAGCCCAAGAAAAAAAAAAAAAAAAGACAAAAGTTCATGAAGAGTGGACACTGTCACCAGCCTCCTTCAAGACTTCTGGCTGTTTATCTCAATGCCCTGCACACCAAGCCCCAACCACAAGGGCTGATAGGCCAGGGTCAGCTGGAACCATGCTGTTCCTTTTACCTAGACTGCCTGGGCCCATTTCAACGTATAAAACCCTACACGTTCTGCTCAAATGGATCCTGCTCGGTGATACCCTCCCAGATACTCAACTGACATTAAGCTTTTAGTTCTTATTACAGTGATTTGTATTCATGTCTTTATCCCCAGTTAATAGGTGCTCAGTTATTATTTGTGAAATTAAATTCAGTCCATTCCAAGTGTTGCCGTGAGCATAGATTGAGTTTAATATCTTATACATCAGGACCACACTGGGCTGGGGATGTGGCTCAATGRTAGAGCCAAGCAGGCATAAGTCCCCGAGTTCAATCCCCAGCACCCAAACCACATGTGCGCGCGCACACACACACACAACCATTCCACAGAGATAGGATGCAAGTATTTTGAGATAACAGTTCAGATAACCTAATACACCACAGAAAATCACATGTGTTATTAGCCTCTTGATTTTTTTTTTTTTTTTTTTTTTGCAGTGGGGAGGCCGTAGTGGCAAAGAGTTGTTTTGTGTTTTGTTTTGTTTTGAAGAACTGGGGTTTGAACCCAGGAGCACTCTACTACTGAGCTACATCCCCAATCCTTTTTATTTTTTTTTTTTTTATTTTGAGACAGGGTCTCATTAAGTAGCTCAAGCTGGGGGCTGGGGATTTGGCTCAAGTGGTAGCGCGCTGGCCTGGCATGAGCAAGGCGCTGGGTTCGATCCTCAGCACCACATAAAAATAAATAAAGATATTGTGTCCACCTAGAACAAAAAAATAAA